CTCACTATGTATGTATATACCCGCCCCCCTCCCCCCTCCCACCTGCCCAATACCCTATTACTGTAGCACCTATGTGTCCACTAGAATCATTTTAAAATCCAAATGAGCTGTAAAAGTTAGCAGAAGCTGGTAGAAGAATAACAAAACCAGTGAGATACTGGCATTTTGGTAAAGATACTTTACAAGCAGATGGTAAGCAGGGATTTTATTTAAAATATTTAACAACCAGTAAGACATGGGCTCCAGCAAATCAAACCAACTTTGACACCTGAATGGGTGAATGTCATCCTGGTTTTACAAAATAAATTTAATTCATTATTTAATTTAAACTCATTGATGTCCCAGTTGCATAGGGAATTATATTTCTGTCCAGTGCTACTATTTTTAAATATATGTTTAAAACTCAAAAGAGAATGGAAAGGATAGTCATTGAACCTGAACTCAGGAATGGTAACCTTTTTACATTTGGATTTTTTCTCACTGTAGTTCCCTGCATGACTGCTTGTAGTGATGGACTTAAATTGCACTATCATTAAAGGTTGAAATGGCAAATACAAATCTAAAATTAGAAAATGCAAAAGAAAAATAGGGGAGAATAATATTATTGCAATATGAATTATTCCTAACTGCCTGGCAAAATAGACATGGCTCTTTTTATAGTTTATTCAATTTTTTTAAAATACCTATTATGTATTAGGTATAAAGATGTAACTACTATTCTTGCATTAGAAGAGAGTGAAGGCAGATGCATAAACAGGTCAATTTCTAATCAGTGTAGTAATTATTCAATTTTCTGATGTGGGTATGCATAGTGTACTATGAATCCCACAGTAGGGGAGATCCTCTTGGCATTGCAGGCCATGAGAAGTTAAGAACTCATCTAGTGCACACAGTAAATGGAGCAAGAGACTGAAAGCAGGTCTGTCTGAATTCAAGTCTGTGATGTTACATAACACAATATACAGTCATATGTATATCTCCAAAAGTAAATCAGGGGTTATAGAAGGCACACTTTAAGAATTTCAAGTGTGTGTTTTTGTTTTTTGGTAGAGGCAGGGTCTCACTATGCCGCCCAGACTGATCTCCAACTACTGGCCGCAAGCGATTTTCCCACCTCAGCCTCCCAAAGTATAGGCACCTCCTCTAATCCCATAAAAGAACTTCAAGTTTTAACTTTCAAAGAATGAAAATACACTGCCAGCACTGAATGTCAATAGGTTTAATGATGTTGCTAACATTCAAAAACAAATCCTGAAATCTCAACCTCATTCTTCAGACTCATAAAGCCACCTGAAGCACTCCCAAGCAGGCTTGGTCAGAGATAGCACAGCAAGCCAGTATTGGGTTATCTATCTGAGTTATCACTAGAAAACCTTAAAAGGTGTGGTCAGCAGGCAAAAATCAGCATTGACCAAATCACTGGCAGATCTGTCAGTCACTAATAAGGTAAGGCCACAGGCCTCCTCACAGCAGTGGGTTTAGGAAAAAAATCAGACAGACTAAGATGTGCTCTTCCAGAGGGACCAAAACCAGATGGTTAGATAAGCCCAGCTGAGGTATGGCCAACAAGTAAAGGACATGACTAAATCTTTAATCCAAGGGGAAGAGAGGGTTAGTCTGAGACAGTACCAGGAATTACAGCTAATGGATTTTGTCATTCCAATAGGCATTTACAGGCTTTTTTCCCTGGAACAGTTCAGATACTAAGAATTCAATAAATGTTAGCTATCTGCTACATGCTTTACATGCATTAATTTACTTAATCCTCAAACAATCTCATAATAATAGCATTATTATCCTCATTTTGGCATATTAAGAAACTGAGGCTCAGAGAGGTTAAGGATCATACCCATGGCCACAGCCAAAATTGAAACCCAGAAAGTCTGCCTTGAAAGCCATGAAAATGTAACAAGATTTAGACTTAGGCTGTGTCATTTTCCATAGTTGAAGTAATGAGCAGTTTATGACACAGTTTGAAAGAATTTAGCTCATGTTAAGACAGACTCAGATCAGGGCTTTCTATGGAATTTTCAATGATTATATACACGCTACAAAAGCAGTAAGTAATACTTTTTCAAGTATTCAAAAGCACACAGGAAAATTATTAGCTTCTTAGCAGAATGATTATCTTTTAAATCCCTTTTACTAGGAGAAGATGTTTTAAGAACTCTACCATTTATGTAAGAACTCTATCATGCATTGACCTTGTCAAATAAGCTTTTGGAAGTCAGACTTATTACTGATTACCTAACAGAGGGAACTACCTGACAGGGTAGATCATTTGTGAAGGCAGATGTTTAACAGCTGCCCTAAATTCTTGGTTTCTTAAATCTACTATTGTTTAAACATTATAGGTATCTCTACCATATTTATCCTGAGTTATTCAAGATTTATGATAATTACTAAAACACAAAACCTATCTCTTGATTTCTGATTTTTTATTAACTCACCAGTCATTAATTTCTACTTTAGACTGACCTTTTTATACCCACCCCATGGTAAACAGAAGCAGCTTGCTGAAGTTCTAGGGAAGCCATATCATTTGCCAGGTGCTTATTTTCTTTCTCTAGAGTCTGCAGGTTTTGCGTTAATGCATTTATGTCTACCTTTGGGAAAAAAAGAAACTGTCTCAGATTTTAAAACTATTATCTTATTTTTAAAATGACAATTATAACTATGAAAAGGAAGGTATCTTATATACAGTTTCTCCTGCCTCTAACATGGAGATTTGATCAGTCAGCCTGATAGCCCTATGTTGAGCCCAGGAGTTCAAGACCAGCCTGGGTAATAGCGAGATCCAGTCTCTATAAAACTGTAAAATTAATCAGGCATAGGGATGTGTGCCTATTGTCCCAGCTACTCAGGTGGTTGAGGCAGGAAGATGGCTTGAGCCCAGGAGGTGGAGGTTGCAGTGTTCTGTGATGATACTACTGCACTCTAGCCCAAGCAACAAAGCAAGACCTTGTCTCAAGAAAACAAAACAGAACAAAAACACTTTTTTTCTCTTTATTTTTTCAGTTTTTCCAGTTGTCTTCAGGAAAGAGTTACTGCAAATCATATAGTTCCCCTTTATTACTTTTGGTACTTGGTATTTATTTAAGTATTACCTCAAGCTTATGAATATATATGTAAAAATACTCCACAAAATATTAGCAAAATGAATCCAGCAATATCTAAAAAGGATAACAAGTCAGGAAAAAGTAAAGTTTATCTTGGTAATACAAAGCCTGTTGAATATTCAAAATCAATCAGTATAATTCACCACATTAACAGGCTACAGAAGAAAAGCCATATAATCATCTCAATAGATGCAGAAAAATAACTTCACAAAATCCAACAGCAATTCATGATTTAAAAAAAAAAAACTCAGCAAACTAGAAATGAAAGGGAACCACCTTTAGCCAATAAAGTGTATATACAAAAATCCTGTAGCTAATATCAATCTTTTTTTTTTTTTTTTTTTTTTTTTTTTTTTTTGAGACAGAGTCTCACTCTGTTGCCCTGGGTAGAATGCCGTGGCATCAGCCTAGCTCACAGCAACCTCAAACTCCTGGGCTCAAGCAATCCTGCTGCCTCAGCCTCCCGAGTAGCTGAGACTGTAGGCATGCGCCACCATGCCCTGCTAATTTTTTCTATGTATTTTAGTTGGCCAATTAATTCCTTTCTAATTTTAGTAGAGACGGGGTCTCGCTCTTGCTCAGGCTGGTCTCGAACTGCTGACCTTGAGTGATCTGCCTGCCTCAGACTCCCAGAGTGCTAGGATTACAGGCATGAGCCACCTCGCCCAGCCCTGGTACTTCCTTTTTATAATGAGAGCCACAATCAGTCATTGAATATGGAAATTTCCACCCCCCCCCCAATCAATGTCAGGGTATTAAGGAAATATTGATATTTGCCATATGTCAAAATCATCTTCATAAACCAAGTGTGGGCATAATGCACATGCAAGCAAATGTGACTGAGAACAAGCTCTCACTCATTCATAGGCTAACTAGCTGCACTATGGATCATTTACAATAAATCTTGAATTCAAAGTCATTAATTTTGGCAAATATCCTACATTGGTATAATTCACTATCTCTGGCTTATAGTTGCTTAAGTTATGAATAGAGGGCCCTTTAAGCATTTTAAACCAAAGAATTTAGACTTCTGTCTTCCACTTTGAATAAGTTGGTAAATATGAAATCATATATATTAGGGATATTAATTTACATGAGAGATATTCCCCACTATCTCCAACATAATTATAGGTATTCTTCAGTTACCATTTTGGCACTTTATTTCAAGTGTTGTGACACCAACACAATAGTTTTTATTATTTTATTTTTGTTCTGAGACAGTGTCTTGCTCTGTCATCCAGGCTAGAGTATAGTGGCACGATCATAACTTACTGCAGCCTCAAACTCCTGGGCTCAAGCCATCTTCCTCTATCACCCTCCCAAGTAGTTGAGACTACAGGTGAGGTGTGTGCCGCCACACTCAGCTAATTTTTCTTTTTTCTTTGTTTTTTTTTGTAGAGATGAGGGTCTCACCCACTATGTTGCCCATGCTGTTCTTGAATTTCTGGCCTCAAGTGATGTTCCCACCTTGGCCTCCCAAAGTGCTAGGATTCTAGGCATGAGCTGCTGCATCTGGCCTGTTTTTAAACAAAAGCAAAAACACATTCCAAACTAGATTACTATATAATGATATGTAACTCATAGTTGTCTTCTGTTCAAAGTATTTTCACCATAGCATATGTTCTATGAGAAGGCACACTAGTCTGGAGCAATGTTTTCTCCTTGGTAGTTGCCTTGACTAGAAGAATTAGCATTTTAGACAGACAACACTTCATAAAAAAACCTATGGACAAGCCATAAAGAATGATTAGCCCCAGTATACCACCTACCCTTAAATTATGCACATTCAATATAAAAACATGTACTCTAATTAGGCTTCAGTTTATTATTAACTATTATGACCATCTAAGTATCTGTCCTATCAGAATCAGTATTTCATCCACAATTATATACATTCATAATTCAGTTTCTTGAACTTTTTAAAAATCACTATGTGTTGCCCCACTAAGGTAAATGAAAATATATTTTCTAAAGCATTTAGATCAGTAGTATATTGGTTTCAAAATAACCTAAGGGAAATGTAGACTGCTATCAACAAATAGGAAACTAGAAATAATCATCATAAAGTTAATCATCAATTTTCTGTTTGTGGAAGATACACAATTCTCTTTGTCATAATATTTTTTTTTTAGAAACTGTGATGTAAAATCATTCCATGAGTGCAATATTATAGTTTGGGATTATGTTTTGACCAAATCTTCAGCAGAAAATGAATTATAAGGATGGCTAATAATGCTACAAAAACAAAGTTACAATAAAAATAAAAGCTTATTTAAAACTCATTTCCAAGTTCTATAAATTAAGGTGTCCTAATGTAAAGTGTAGGTATAGCATATAAAAAACACCCAAGAACTAGATTTAACCTAAAATATGCTAGCTATAACAAATATTAAACACTCAAAAATAACTTTGCTTATCTTCTTGGAATGTGGAAATGTTTTTTTATGGAATAACTTAGATGATCTGGTTCTTTTATAAAGGGTATCCAGGAATTTTTTAAATAATGGCACTTTTTTCTCCTCAATAAAATTCCCTCTTTTAGGCAAAGGCATAAAGAAATTCCACTAATCTTTTAAATATACTTTTAAAATAATAATTTCCCCTTTTTGCCACCAAAGAGAATGCTCATGAAATAATGAAAACTGTTGGCCAGGCGCGGTGGCTCATGCCTGTAATACTAGTACTCTGGGAGGCCAAGGCGGGCGGATTGCTCGAGGTCAGGAGTTTGAAATCAGCCTGAGCAAGAGCGAGATCCCGTCTCTACTATAAATAGAAAGCAATTAATTGGCCAACTAATATATATAGAAAAAATTAGCCAGGCATGGTGGCACATGCCTGTAGTCCCAGCTACTCAGGAGGCTGAGACAGCAGGATTGCTTGAGCCCAGGAGTTTGAGGTTGCGTGTGATGCTAGCTGACGCCATGGGCACTCAACTCTAGCCTGGGCAACAAATTGAGACTCTGTCTCAAAAAAAAAAAAAAAAACAAACAAAAAAAAACTGTCTAAGCAAAATCAAAATATGATATTTGACACGGGGTCACTTATTTAAATATTATAACAAAATATAATTATTTCCAGTTGCTAAGAGAATGTAGATATTAAGGCAGTTACTTAAATTACTGGTTACATATTAATTAGGTATTGTACTTTAATCAATGAAAGACCAGAAATTAGAGACTACTTGAATGAGTGAATATCTGAGGTTCTGAGTTATGGAAGGCAGAACTGAGATTAACATTTACTTAAATAATGTTGGAAATATACTATAAATAGTAATATACAGAGCAAAATGAATTGGGAAAACACCTGAGAAACAGCATACAAAGAAAAATGCCAGTGGTTAGACAGGCGTCCTCAAACTAGGGCCCGCAGGCCACATGCAGGTGTTTTTGCCCGTTTGTTTTTTTTTACTTCAAAATAAGATATGTGCAGTGTGCATAGGAATTTGTTCATAGTTTTTTGAACTATATAGTCTGGCTCTCTAACGGTCTGAGGGACAGTGAACTGGCCCCCTGTTTTAAAAGTTTGAGGACCCCTGGGTTAGAATATACATTTTAACTCAGAAACACAAAGATATTGCTCCTTGGAAAAGCAGGACGCAAAAACAGAAAGAATTATCTTAAGATATGAACAGTAGGTTCCCAAGAATCAACAGTAAGCCACAAAATGATTTTTAGAATCATTTTAAAATCCAAATGAGCTGTAAAAGTTAGCAGAAGCTGGTAGAAGAATAACAAAACCAGTGAGATACTGGCATTTTGGTAAAGATACTTTACAACAGATGGTAAGCAGGGATTTTATTTAAATATTTAACAACCAGTAAGACATGGGCTCCAGCAAATCAAACCAACTTTGACACCTGAATGGGTGAATGTCATCCTGGTTTTACAAAATAAATTTAATTCATTATTTAATTTAAACTCATTGATGTCCAGTTGCATAGGGAATTATATTTCTGTCCAGTGCTACTATTTTAATATATGTTTAAAACTCAAAAGATGGAAAGGATAGTCATTGAACCTGAACTCAGGAATGGTAACCTTTTTACATTGGATTTTTTCTCACTGTAGTTCCCTGCAATGACTGCTTGTAGTGATGACTTATAATTGCACTATCATTAAAGGTTGAAATGGCAAATACAAATCTAAAATTAGAAAATGCAAAAGAAAAATAGGGGAAATAATATAATTGCAATATGATATTCCTAACTGCCTGGCAAAATAGACATGGCTCTTTTATAGTTTATTCAATTTTTTAAAAATACTATTATGTATTAGGTATAAAGATGTAACTACTATTCTTGCATTAGAAGAGAGTGAGAGGCAGATGCATAAACAGGTCAATTTCTAATCAGTGTAGTAATTATCAATTTTCTGATGTGGGTATGCATAGTGTACTATGAATCCACAGTAGGGGAGAATCCTCTTGGCATTGCAGGCCAATGAAGATTAAGAACTCATCTAGTGCACACAGTAATATGGAGCAGA